TATTCAGGTAGATAGTGGAATACCCTTGCAATCTGCAGCAAAAGTTCCTATAATGATAACATTTAATGTTATTGATCGGAGTGGGGACCATAATGATGTAAAACCTCAAGCTTGTATTTTCAAGGTAAGCTTACCCACTTACATTTCAAATTGATTAGACCCATAAAAGGTATTTTGTTCAAAACCACCTATGGTCCACAGAAGATCCATTTTCATTACCCCTTGATGAAAATCAACCAACCTGCTCCCCAGCCCTTTCTTTAACCTTTTCTTTAACTTTTTTATTATTATAATGGAATAAATAAGTTACATGGTGCAAACAACTTTAGTTTTCCTGATTTGAAAGTTGTGATCTCTTATTTATTACTATGAAAATTTGACACCAGGAATTTTTTTCTTCATTCATGGCTTAACTGAGCTCCTTTTCTTCAAGGTTGGAGATGATTGTCGCCAGGATGTTCTTGCTCTTCAAGTGATTTCCCTTCTTAGAGACATATTTGAATCAGTTGGAATTAATCTTTATTTATTTCCATATGGTGTACTCCCAACTGGCCCGGAGAGAGGAATTATTGAGGTTTGAATCTCTTTCAACCCAATTACTAGGTTCATGCATGTGCACGTGTCTGCAAATGCATGCATGCATTGCATATGTGCTACTTTGCTGGTTCTTATGCTGAGATCTTATTCTTTAATCTCCAGGATACCATATAAGCAATAGATATTTAACATTTCTTCTCAGCACCTTACATGCTAGGCAAGCTTCAGGCTACATTTTTTATTTTGATTTTGATGAGGACCACAGCTTTTAACAAATACAGGAGAGAAAACTACAATTCAGGGGACAAGGCATCCCCTGAATGGACAAATCTTTAATGTACATCTCCGAAGCTTCGGGCGACATTTGACTTCTGTCTTTGTCTAATTCTTTGGCATAGTTTTGGACTCCGGTATTTGGAGAAAGTAATTCAAAAGGAAAGGTTTTATGAGTCGTCAAAGTAAAATTTTCAGAACTACATTGATTATGTCCAAGGGCCCTTAGAGGTATGAGGGACTTGATGGGGTACAACATGTTTTTCTTATTTATTTTTTAAAATCTTTTGTAATCTACTTAGTGGAAAGAAATCCCTCGTTTTTTTTTCTTTGTTTTTGTTTCTGACCATAGTAGTACGTGCATATTTAGTTGTTTTCTCAATATATTTTGTCTTGCAGGTTGTACCTAATACACGGAGCAGAAGTCAGATGGGTGAAACCACTGATGGTGGTTTGTATGAGATTTTTCAACAGGACTATGGCCCTGTTGGCTCTCCCAGCTTTGAAGCTGCACGTGAAAACTTCATCATTAGCAGTGCCGGTTATGCCGTTGCCAGCCTTTTACTTCAACCAAAGGATCGACACAATGGGAATCTTCTGTTTGACAAGTAGGAATCTGATCTATCCTTTCTTTTTCTTCCATAACGTTTTTCTTTTTGTCAATATATGAGTTAGTAAGCACTGTACTATGACAACGTGGCAAACTCAAAACTAATCTTCTAACCCCTTATGCATGATAAGCCATCTCCAAATGCTATTACTTGGATTGAAGCATATAAGATTATACAATACTTGATTTAAAACTGATGTCAACATGCCTGACAATGCAGCGTTGGAAGGCTTGTTCATATTGATTTTGGTTTCATCTTGGAAACTTCACCGGGTGGAAACATGCGCTTTGAAAGTGCACACTTTAAGCTTAGCCACGAGATGACACAATTGCTAGACCCTTCTGGGGTTATGAAGAGTGACACCTGGAACCAATTTGTGAGGTAGTGTTCCTGGGTAATCTTTTTACATTGAAATTTTTATTCCGCCAAAATTTTAAAATCATGTTCTGTTCTGTATAATATGTCCACAGCTTGTGCGTTAAGGGTTACCTTGCTGCCCGCCGATACATGGATGGGATCATCAACACAGTTTCGTTAATGCTAGACAGTGGACTGCCTTGCTTCAGTAGGGGAGATCCGATTGGAAATCTTCGTAAGAGATTTCATCCCGAGATGAGTGAGCGTGAGGCGGCCAATTTTATGATCCATGTATGCACAGATGCCTACAACAAATGGACAACTGCTGGCTACGACTTGATACAGTATCTGCAGCAGGGCATTGAGAAGTAAACAAGAGGAGAGCTTTGGAGCTTGTCTACAAATGTACATGATTGCTTGTATTTTATAGTAATTATTATTGTCTTATAGCCGCAATTTTTTTTCCCGAGGGATCTCCACTTTGTAGGTTTGAGAGGACTGTTAAAACGGCATGAGATTGAAATCATTGTATTCTAGGGATGGAATTCCTCGTGAGGTTTGTAAAAATACAGTTTGTAGTTATTTTTCATATATGGCATTCAAAATTTATTGCTTCCGAGTGATTAATGAAACCAAGTTACAAGCACTCCTTGAATAAAATATGTAGATGACATTATAAGGTATAGTTGTGTGAATTATGACTGTCCATCCATGGACGTCAAGATTTCGATAAAAAAAGAAAGGAAGAAAACGAAGGATTTTGCGTAGAATTTTATGATTAGCTTAGCTCGTCTTTTGGTTACATTGGAAATATTTGAACCACTGACCTAGTATAATCCTAATCCTAACCCATTTTCCCGGTATGCTTTGAATCAAAATCCAACAAAATATCTTATGTCAACAGAATGAAAATGCAAAGGGAATAATACATGTCAAAGAATTCTAATGCGCAATAAAGAATAAAATGGCGTGTAATTTATCAACAAAGGAATTATGGTAGCCAAAGATTACTCGTCGCAAGTTGTATTCTGTTTAATGGAAAACACTTGGCCGTCCACATCAAATCAATCTTAAAATGAGATACCATTTTCCTTCTCAACTACAGGTTCCCTGACAATAGAATTGTGTATCTGCGACCGAGGCACCTTCTATAGTGGACCAGGCGCACTGATGTACCCAGATTTTTTTAAAAATTAGTTACCAGTTATATAAGTTCTCAAGTTTTCATTTTTTTGTTAATACTTAACACAAATGCAATTGGGTCGTGGAATTATGCCCTTATTTTTTGGCAATTGGTATATGATTTGATATGTTATTTTTTAATTGAGTGTATTCTATTTGACTCACGATGACATGCTTACGGATTTCGCAATGGTATTTTTTTACTTTTATAAATCTAAAGTTACCGTTTTAGACTTTTTTTTTATGAGAACCGTTTTAGACCTTAAATTTTTTTTTTTCCTGATTTCAATATGTCACCTCATTGTAGCTTTACTCAAGTTCATTATGAGTTGCTAGTTTTATTTATATGAATTATGATAGCTAGTTGTGGTTAATTCCTCTGTATTTTAAGCCTAGTTTTTAAAAATCAATTGAGGTTGATAGTTTTAATTTTTTGTTTCTTTTGTCTCATAAAATTGGTAAATGCGCATCAACATTTATTTGAAAGTCTTTATTCATCAAATTTTTTCACCTTGAGTTTTGTCTATGTAATTGGTTGAAATACATTTCTATGTAACATGGCCATGGAAATCATATACAAAACTCAAGGTGAAAAAATTTGACAATTTCTAAAATAAGAAATTGTCATATATGTATTTCAACCAATTACAAGGTGACAATTTCTCAAGGTGACAATTGTCATATATGTATTTCAACCAATTAAAACAAGAAATTTGACAATTTCTCAAGGTGAAACAAAACTGAAGGTGCTTATTCTAAAATAACTTTGAACAAATGTCTTATAACAAAAGATGACTCATAGCATCTTCCAACAAAAATTTCCCTTATGATCCTTCTCTGTTTTTTGGTTCATATCTTCGTAATATAATTGGTTCATGTTCCGATAAAAAAAATAAAATTAAATAAGAATATAAGAATATAATACTTAAATAATATATATTGCACTTTATAATCAATATATAATACATAATGGAGAGTAAGAATAAAGAAGAGAGAGTAAAGAAAATTTGTATTATTTGCTCAGATAAATTCGTTTGTTATAGTAACAAACTCTAATTGTACCATAAAAATGCAACTAGTAGCTAATTTGATGACACTTATCATCATACACACTAACATCCTCCTGCATGTTGGAATAACGTCTTGAATTAGTGATCAAAGGTAACGGGAGACTGGTCGGAGACTAGGCTCGACCGGCCGGCCCACAACGGTATTAAAGTTTGGTCAGTTTCGATGCGAACCAACTGGTAAGGCTTGATGGACGATGGTTAGCCCATCGCATGTTTCCTATTTCGATATTGGGTGGTAATGAGACTACCAAAGAGGTTAGCTTAGCATGGGACCTAGGTTACCAGGGTTACTTGATGTAACCTATAGAAAGTGTGAGTTTGTTAGTGTATGTGGAATATTTATTGAGAGAAAGGGATTGCTTGAGGGTACGAAGGGCTGAAATAGGCTTAATTTCTCTGCGTTGTAATCTTATATTCTTTTGCCATAGTAGATCGTTGCTTAAGCATTCCTCATATTTCAAAATCATGAGGAAAATATGCATGAAGTCATGAATACTCCATTTGTTTCCCTGTTAAGTAAAGCTAGGTGGTTCTTGGTGAAAAAACAAAAATCTAGGTTGTCCTTTCTTTTTCATTTTTTTTTTGGGTACAAAAAACTAGTTAATTCTTTTTTGGCGTTACAAAAATAGTTGACTTCAAATTAACACAAATGAGTTATTTCTCTTTACAATTGGGAGTGTTTAGAGCAAGTAAAAGCCAAGATTAATACTCAAAATATTGTAATCTTTTAGGAAAGAAGAATTAAAAAGCGAGAAGAGCTATGATATTGATTGCCAACATCTGAATTGTTAAAAAGAAATGTAGGTTTCTTGACAATGAATGTCACTTCTTTTAGTTGATGACATGGCGTTCTCATTGCATCCCATCATATAGGTTGAAGAAAACTTTTAAGTTCGAAGGGAAAAAAAAAAAGAAATTAGGGAAATGAGTTGTGGATACAAGTTACAACTTGTTTGACATAAAGATCACATCTAGGCACTTGAGGTCTTCTTAACATGAAACTTGCTCTTACAAACAACAAATTAGAAAGCATATCAAGGATCCAAACATTACCATGAATGCTTGATCACAGTGCCAGATCTTGGCAACTGATCATTATTCTACACACATGACATGAAATATGATACAAACAACAAAGACTCAAGAACATTGCTACCTACTCACATAGTAGCTTTAGTTGGTGATGGGATCCAAACAAGATGATTTTCAGGGAAGAAATGACACACTGGAGAAGAGGCACCAGCTTTGATTCCCAGCAGGCCAAACAAACTGTGGTTAGGGTCCCAATCAGATGTGTCCATGTGGCAAACAGCCATAGCTTCCACCTTATCTTCATTTTCACCTTCAAGTGAAACCTTGAAGAACTTGGTGTCTTTCTCAAAGTTGTGGCAGAAGAAAACCGAGTAAGGATAAGCCATTGGGTGGCAAAAAACCATTTTGGAAGCTAAAACTTCTTTGGGTTCTTCCAAAATAGTGTAGCTTTGTGTGATGGCAGTTGATGTTGTGGGGTGTGTGGTTGAGAGAATATTGAAGCTAACACCAGAACCAATGATCTTGGTAACAAATTCTGTCATGGACTCTAGAGAAGTGGCACAAAACTTGGTCTCCCCTGTGATGGGTTTCATCTCACATTGTTCGAGTGCATATGCCATGTGTTTTGCATCTCGAGAATCTTGTGGGATCGAGAAGAGTTGGAGAAGGTGCGGAAGTTGTGGCATTGAGAATGGAATGGAATCAGCTACTTCTTTAGGCAAGAAACGAGAATGTTCTTGCTTGGGAAAGTTTAGGGGCATTATCTTACCTTTGTATAGATCATCGAATGTGAAAAAGCCTACCTTGAATGCTTCAGTGTGATCCATGGGAGATGATGAATGTGTATGCATATGATGATGTTCATGTCCCTTCAATGGCGGCTCTTGTGAGTTTTTGGTGTCAGAGGAAGGTCGATTTACATGCTTGTGATGTTTACATTTGGTTATAGCCTTTTCCTTTGCAGCTTGTGCAGAAATGTACCCTGTTATGTAAGGCGTTTCAACTTCTTTTGACTCCTTTTTTCCTTGTGCAGAAATATACCCAGTTATGTAAGGCGTTTCAACTTCCTTTGACTCCTTTTTTCCTTGTGCAGAAATATACCCAGTTATGTAAGGCGTTTCAACTTCCTTTGACTCCTTTTTGGCTTGTGGAAAAATATACCCAGTTATGTACGGCACTTCAACTTCTTTGGTTCCATAACTCATTACATAAGGTGTCTCAACTTCTTTTGTGCCTGTCTTGGTTCCATAACTCATTATGTAGGGTGTTTCAGCTTCTTTTGTGTCTTCTTTGGTTCCATAATTGGTTATGTATGACACTTCTGCTTCTTTTGAGTTGTGCCCTGAATTGTACTGTGTTATGTAAGGAGTCTCCGCTTCTTTTTTGCCTTCTTTGGTTCCATAACTAGTTATGTATGGCACTTCTCCTTCCTTTGAGTTGTGCCCTGAATTGTACTGTGTTATGTAAGGAGTCTCAGCTTCATTTCTGCCTTCTTTGGTTCCATAACTAGTTATGTATGGCACTTCTGCTTCCTTGGAGTTGTGCCCAGAATTGTACTGAGTTAGGTAAGGAGTCTCAACTTCTTTTCTGCCTTCTTTGGTTCCATAACTGGTTATGTATGACACTTCTGCTTCTTTTGAGTTGTGCCCAGAATTGTACTGAGTTATATAAGGCCCATATGACGAATCCTGTAGTTGACATGCAACTAGTTATGTAAGGATCATGTGATGCTTAACATTGTGTTGTGTAGTCTCATAACTAGTTATGTAATCACTTACCTCCGCTTCCTTCATGTTTTTTGTAGCTCCATATGCGGTTTTGTATTGTTGTACATCCCTTGCTCCATTGGCGTGACCACACTACATTTGAATAACAAGAAATAGAAAGAAAAAAAGAAGATTAAATTTAGGCATTATACATTACTCCATTCCCATTTTTCGTTCCACCTCATTTTTTAAAATTAATTACTTAAAAAGACATCTAATTTCATCTTTTTTTGGAAAAGAAGAACATTGCTAGAATGTTTTTTAAATTTCTTTAAATAAAATAAAATAAAAGCTAGGGATCAGTCTCCATGGCTTACTCCAGATGAGGATGCTGCCATAGATGGAGACTTTTTCACTCTTTCTTAATTTATGGAGAATTGGTGCACAAACAAGTAGAATTTGAAGATTGCCGACAAAATTGCAACCATAGACGATGTATATATAACCAACTATATAGTATGCTGAATCTTTCTAGAAATGTAGGAACTAGCAGTAGTAGAGTACATTGTATATAAATACACATAACCATTACATTTTTTGTCCTGAGATTCAAATAGTATCTATACAATTTATAATAAGGTGCTTATTTAAATTTGAGTATATTGCTCTTATTCTATAACTACTATAATTGTATTTCCAATTTAAATTACATGTATTTTTAGTTATATAATCAAGAAATTCAAGAAACTGTAGCAATTTTCTGGATCAATGCGTCCTATTAAAGAAGTACATGGATCCTATCAAATTAAGAAGAGAGATACATAGCTTAGCTTGATTAAAATAAACTAGTTCATGTCACAACAAGAAAAACAATATAAAATAGTTCCTTCTTCAGAATTTCTTATCAAGGACTTAATGGAGAAATCACAGTTATTACAGAAATTTCTAAAACAAGTTTCTTTCATTTTATGTTAGATTTGAATTAAATGAAGGATGGTAATTTTTTTTTTCCTAGTACAAACGATTGGGGGAGAGAGATTTACACAAATATTCATTGGTTGTTTGGGGTTTTTCGAACCTCTGCCACATGAGTAAAGGGAGAAGTGCTCAACTAACTGAGCTATATCCCACTGACAAGGATATGATTAATCTTATGCAAGCTATATAGCAATATCTTTTTATAATACTTAACGTTTAAAACCTGTGATCTTAAAGCAAAATAAGTAATGAATCAAAACATGCGTATATCAATTGTAAAATTTTAACACCAACTAGCTTATAGTGGTACTTTTCTTTCTAATATTAAAAGATGTCACAAGTTTGAAATCCCTTCTCCATTTATTTAGAAACAATTATGAATTTAACAATCGGGGAGTAGGGACCAAATTCAAGTTGACATCTAACTTTAGTAACCAGGGCATACAATGATCATCTAATAATGAGATACGCAAAAAGGAAAATACTAAGATTGACCATATTATTGTACAATACAAATTACAATTGTATATTATCTAATATAGTTAGGACTTACTAGTGGGTTGTACCTCTATTAGGGAGGTGACACATAATGTGGTATAATAATGTAATCTTCTTAGCATTACTCACACACAAAATAGTTATCGATCTAGTGTCATTTCTTTTTTCAATATTTTAAAATGTCAAAAGATCGAATATTCCCTCCCCACTTAATTACAAAAGAAAAAACAAAGTGACACAGAAGCTCTAATAAGTATATACTTGTCACCACAAATATTAGAGCAAATAACAACTGAATTTCTTTTAGTGTGTCATTTCTTGTGCACAGTTATTAAGTATACTGTTAGTATATTGCGAGCAAGAACAGCAGACAGAAGATGAAAGAAATAATTACCACAAAGAAGAGCAGACAGAAGATTATGAATCTAGATGCCATCTTTCTTCTCTGCTTCAGGCTTTTCTCTGTGGCTCTTAGTGAGGGTGTGCAGGGGGCTTTTATAAGCACTGAGAGCTTTGATTAGTATTAATTTAACAGATAATCGTTGTTATCTGAAAGGATAAATATAATGCAACCATGCAAGACTTGGCGTTTTCCTTAATCCTTGCGGAGGGTTGATTTTAATAACTGATTAATGAATGACAACTAATCATCTCACAGTTAGTGCCTCATAATATACTTAAATAGAAAAATTTAGAAGTGCTTCTAGCAAAAGCACTTACAACTGGAAATGCTCTTTACAGAACAAGTCATTGTTGCCTTAGTAAAAGACTCGACGACACTAATTAGTAGAATAAGACAATTGGCCAAGGGACCACAAGATCCAGAATGGTAGGAACTAGGAAGGTTGCTGGACCAAATATTAGGATAGGCCATTGCTATCACACCTTCAGTTGATAGTTTTCCACAAATTAATATCTTATTATTGTTTTAAAATACTCATGAAAAGAAGATAAAATAACAAAGTAGGAGTGAGAATAATATTTTGCTTGTGAATATTCACAATTCAACAAGACATTATTGTATATTGAACTGATGATCTTATCTTTATCATGCACTAACTTCTTTTTGCGTGAAGAAATTATAGAATACTACATAAAATTTGTTGCTTATAGTCTTCTTTAAGGCTTTTGGGCATATCACTGGCTTATTAAATTCTTAATTATTGATGTATGCAATGAGAGGATTTGTAAATCTCAAAATGGTAAGGTTATTAATAACTTTTCATGTAATGCCACAAGATTTGGACAGCAGCTCAAGACTCCCACAAGGGCCGGTACCCCACAGATTATATGTTCCTCTCCCTAGGAAATTCATTTGCATTATTTGGCTTTAGGAATTGGGGAAAGAAAGAATATGTATGAGGTCAGCTACTCCCTTAATTAAATTAATTTTTGGTTAAATGAGGAACTCACATATTGATTTCTTATGTGTTTGGAATAATTTTAATACCTATGCGTTAGTGAACATATAAAAAATAAAGAATTAGAATAATGTCAATATACCATAAAATAATTGCAAACTACTTGGACAATTAAAAATCCCACACGTCACCCGGAAAATTGGCTCTATAGATATGCAATCGATGTAACTCATCTCGTGAACTTGTACACATCAAAGAGCTTTCATTGAGGGATCTTTGAAATAAGTTTATTTGAGGAACATTCTTGTAGGGCTCACTCCGCATTGTATTTCACTAATCCAAACCATCTATTTTGTAGATATTCATTTAAAGATCATCTCTACAAAAAATCACTTAAATCTGATTTCATTTGACCGCTCAATTAAAATTTTGAAATTTAAGTACTTTCTTATAACACCATGTTTATTTATTTTGTTGGTCTCAATTAGATACTATAGTGATTTTCAATTTGCATAATTTTTTGCAAGGATGATATTTGAATGAAGATGTGAAAAATGGATGGTTTAGAATGTTGAAATTTTTTTTCTAAAGTACCTTAAAGAGTATCCCTCAAATAAAATTTCGTAGCATTTTATTAATTAAGCCCATCACATGATGGTGGATCCCAAAAGAAGTGTGTACTTTGTTTACATTTTTTGCTACGTCACTAACCAGCTAATGAAGTTAACTGATTAACCAATTAACCTTTAATTTAGGGGCAATTGTATCCACTTGATTGGAGGAATTTTTGGGTTTGACTGATATGAATGCAAATGATTATATTTGTGAGTTATTTGATACCTAATTATGAAGAGCCTTACTGTAATGGTGTAATTTTGTTGAAAGTGCATATCGGGCCCTTGTCAAAATATCTTTATAAATATGTTGTTAAAAAAAAAAAAAAAAGAAGTTTTGATAATTTAATGATGAAAAATTGGTATTGAATACTAAAATGGAATTTCAATCATTTTTTAAGGTGGGGTGTTCTTTGTCGATTTCAATAATTCAAACGATGATTCTGTTTGTAACCATTGAATTATTCAACGATGTGTCCTTTTTTTTCTTCAGATATTCACATATTTTTTTTATAGAGTAAGTGATGAACGTTTGGCATGAAAGCTGCAAGCATGAACAAATCAGACATGGACCATAATGTCAAAAAATACTAACATAACTACACCTTTTAAATAAAAATAAAAGTAGAGACTTGAATACAAACAAAACACCAAACTCACAAAGAGTTGATGTAATTATTACAACCCAAGAAAACTGCAAAACCAACCAAAATGACGGAAAGTAAAGTCGCCGTCGTCACAACTACGAAAACAAGAACACCACTGTCGAAGCTCAGGTTGAGAGGAAAACCGCAACCACACAAGAACCTATAACAAAAAAAGAAAAAGAAAAAAAAAAGAAAAACGAAACCCACATATCTGCAAAATTAACCCAAACTATACCAAGACAAATCTGTAAAACAAGGGGCCAAAACAAAGCGGAGAGCACAACCAAACCCTCAAAGGGGTTAGAATGACCACAAGCTCAATCAAAAAACCAAAAGTAAGGCAAGAGGAAAAGGGTGAGGAAAGGGAGGAAAGAAGATGGTGAAGGAGAGGGGAGGAAATTCTCTGACTGACAACCCCACCCTACGCGCGAGCACGATAGGAGCGGCGGCTAGAGTTTGAGAGGGAGAGAAGCAGATGCTGGTAAGAGTGTTGCTATTTCCACCCCTTTGTTCTATTTCCCCACCTACCTTATTTTTATAAATTTAAAAACAAATTTACCCCTTTATAAAATGACTTTTATGGACTTATGTTAAACCCAAGAACTAAGAACAGCTGAATCGGAAAACCCAATTTTATTTACCACCCAAATTTATTTATAAACTAGAAAAGGCACCGTAACACCTTATCTTTAATCTGCATGAAATGAAACCCACTTCATACCGGATTGTGATAAATAAAAACAAAAACAAAAACACCAGAATTGATGAGCTTTTTCACCGGCAGATGAAAAAGTGGAAATCCTTTGCCTTGAGATGAATTGACAACAAAACTAGCAAATAAATAAAAGGGCAATTAGATTGCCCTGTATTGTTTGTTTGCACTAATTGAAATCTTAATCTCGTAGAACACAAAAACAGAAGTCCAAGAAATCTTAATCTTATGTTTAAGGCTTCACCTTAGGATCTTTATTTTCTACCAGTATTCCAGATTTGCTATTGGTTGTAGTTTGAATCATTGCTGTGCTTAGGAGCTTTTGCCCCCTTTTCAATGAATATTTTGATTTTCGTCCAAAATAAATAAATTAATAAATATGAAGAGAGAGAGAGTTCTGGATAAATGCTTGAATTAATAATTAAAGGGTAGTTAAGAAATATCGATGGGTGGAAAGATAGGATTGTGTTTTTAAAAAAAAAAAATTAAATGGTGGGAGAGAAGATTAGGTGGGTGGGGAAATAGAACAGGTGTGTGGAAATAGCAGCACTCGCTGGTAAACCTCACACATTATGTTAGGTTTAAACATAATAGGAGTTACTAACTCTTCATTTAATGAGTGTTTTTAAGAAGATGTTACAAATTCGAATCTCCCCCACTTACCATTTAAAAAAAAACATGAAAAAGTGGCCATTATTTGGATGAGAGTAGTTGGTTTAATATTACAATTGTAAATAATAATCAAGATATTTGGATGAGAGTTACCAAAATGGCCATGCTTGCTATGTCACCTACCACCTTATTAAATCCATTGATTATCCGATCTAGTGGGAGTTGTCTTCACTTGACTCACATATGGATGCGATCTTGTGATAGTTGCGTAATTAGTTGTGATTACGCTCTTTGTGGTGGTAAAGATTTCTTGTGGGGGCATTACCCGGCCTTTTAAAAAAAAAATTAATTATTCTATCTTTATAATAAATAAATAAATAACATTTTGATTTTAGGGTATTTTGTGATGACAAATTGGGTATTGAATACTAAGTTGGTATTTTAATCCGTTCGTAAGGTGGGGTGTTCTTGTCGATTTCAATAACTCAAAGGATGATTATATTGGTCACCATTAAATTATTCAATCATATGAGTCTAGTACTTTTTTTTTCATGAATTCTTCCTTGTTTTTCTTAATACACCTCACATGCTATTTTTTATTTGATCATGATACGAGTTACCATAACTCTTTGTGTTCACAATATTAGAAGATGTCAAATCTCCTGTGGTCACAGATGATCATTGTTTGGATGAGAGTAGTTGGTTTAGTATTACAATTGCAAATAATAATACAGATATTTGACACACTATTTTACCAACTTTTATCTCAATCATCTCACAGTTAGTGGCTCATAATATACTTAAATAGAAAAATTTAGAAGTGCTTCTAGCAAAAGCACTTACAACTGGAAATGCTCTTTACAGAACAAGTTATTGTTGCCTTAGTAAAAGACTTGACGACACGACTAATTAGTAGAATAAGACAATTGGCCAAGGGACCACAAGATCCAGAATGGTAGGAACTAGGAAGGTTGCTGGACCAAAAATTAGGATAGGCCATTGCTATCACACCTTGAGTTGATAGTTTTCCACAAATTAATATCTTATTATTCTTTTTAAAATACTCATGAAAAGAAGATAAAATGACAAAGTAGGAGTGAGAATAATATTTTGCTTGTGAATATTGACAATTCAACAAGACATTATTGTATATTGAATTGATGATCTTATCTTTATCATGCACTAACTTCTTTTTGCGTGAAAAAATTATAGAATACTATATAAAACTTGTTGCTTATAGTCTTCTTTAAGGCTTTTGTGCATATTACTGGCTTATTAAATTCTTAATTATTGATGTATGCAATGAGAGGATTTGTAAATCTCAAAATGGTAAGCTTATTAATAACTTTTCATGTAATGCCACAAGATTTGGACTGCAGCTCAAGACTCCCACAAGGGCCAGTACCCCACATATTATATGTTCCTCTCCATAGGAAATTCATTTGCATTATTTAGCTTTAGGAATTGGGGAAAGAAAGAATACGTATGAGGTCAGCTACTCCCTTAATTAA